TGTGCGTGCGCCGCCTTATTTGGAAACAGGGCTTTGCAGATGACCAAGATGAGGTCATTAGGGTGGGCGTAGTCCTATGACCAGTGTCCTTATAAAAAAGGAAACGTGGGCCAGGCACGGTGGCTCATGCCTGTAACCCCAGCACTCTGGAAGGCCAAGGCAGGAGGATCGCTCGAGCTCAGGGGTTGGAGGCTGCAGTGAGCTATGACGACGCCACTGCACTCCAGCCTGGGTGGCAGAGTGAGACTCTTTAATAAAAAAGGCTGGAGGGTGGGATGTGGACACAGAGACAGACATGCGTGGAGGGAAGCTCCGGGAAGATGCAGGGAGAAGCCCTGGGACCCGGGGAGAGAGTGGTGCCCCCCATAAACCAAAGGACACCCGAGGCTGCCTGCAGCCAGGGGGGCCTGGGAAGGAACCAGCCCCGCCAGGCCCCCAGAACCCGGAGAGACTGGATGTCTGTCGTTTCAAGCCTCCCAGTCTGTGGCCACAGTGTCCTGGGTCGGGACGAGGCCACGGGCGCAGGCTGGGCCCCTGTTGGCCGGGAGGCCCAGCAGAAGCCTGGCAGCTGCCGTCCAAGCAGAACTCACTGCAGACCCCTCAAGCACACAGCAGCCGTGCTGAGGTTCTGCAGAAGAACACCAGGCGGGCTCCGCTCCCATCTCCTGGGCGTCCTCACGCCCCTCACTCTCCAGAGGCTCCTCGGGGCAGATTCTGGGGGGAGGGGGCACAGGCCTGGCCTCCCGAGGCCCCCTGCCTCCGGCTCTTCAATGGAGAGGAGCCCGAGCCCGGGGAGGCGGCACACCTGCCTCCAGCCAGCCCTGCCCGCTGCGGCCCAGCCAGAGCGGGCACCGTCCACAGTCTCCCAGGCCGAACGGGTGCTGCCAGGGGTCCCTTCTCTCCCTGCAGAAACACCCTCCCCTCCTGCTTCCGAGAGTCCACTGCCAGAGACCCTTTCCTCAGCCCGTTTTTGTTCAAGTGCCCTTGGACTTGGTGATGCATGTGCATCACGTGCATGTAAGCCTCTTGCTCCGGGAGGCTTGGGGAGGGCAGAGAGGGCAGGCCCTGGCGACCCAGGAAGTTACAGAAGAAAGTGCAGCAGTGGCAACCCCACCAGGGAGGCTCGGATGGCCTTGCACAAATAACAAGAAAATGGCTAAACCCCCTTTCCAGGTCATCTGACCGGGGCCGGCTCCCCTCAGGTGTTTTGTGCTCAGATCCTGGGGCAGGGGCGTCTGGGTCCCTGTGATGTCTGCGGGGTTGCCCAGGTGCTGCCAAGTCGGAGCGCCAGCTGGGCCCCGAGGCCAGGGCTGTTCTCTCGTGCTAGCAGGCATGGGGCAGGTGCTCTGAATCTCCTCCATCCCTGGAAGGGGCGGTGCCGTCCTCCTCGTTCCCTGGGCCTCTTGCGCCTAAGACGAGGGGGCCCTGCGTCAGGTGGACGCCGAGGCGCCACCCAAACGCGCCCAAGGGGTCCCCACACGGCGGCGTATGCGGCTGGCACCCTGGGCCCGATGCGGCTGGGAAGCCCCGTGGTGGAGGCCGGCACCCTGCGCACACCTGCGGTTCCAGGCCACACCCTGCAGACGCCCCAGCTCTGCGCCCTGCTCCCTGCTCCGGAGGGGTAAGAATCACTGCAGTTCCTTGGGGGTGGGGGTCTCTGTTCCCAGGGCGTCTGCCCGGAAGCAGGCTGGCCTGGAGGTGCTCTCTAGGAAGCGGGGTTCCGGCCCCCCGTGCTGTTGCATCACGCAAGAGCGTGTTGCTACATGTCGGGGCTCTGACCGGCCCTGGAACCGCGGGGCACAGGAGCCCGTCTCCTTGGGGATGAGGCCGCCTGGCTTTGAGCTGCGCCGTCCAAGCGTCTTGTACCTGGGGTGGGGGGAGAGACCCAGGCTTCCGGAACGCCCAGCCCAGAGCCGGGGGGGTAGGGGGGGTCTGCATCCCAGGCACTATGCTGACTCAGGGGAGGCCTGAGCCCCTCCGAGTGGGTGACACCTGGCCTGGAGGACGGCCGGCCACGGAAGGTGGGGGTGGGGGTGGGGGTCCCGCTGCCGGGTCTCTGGGACAACTGCACTGGGTATACGGGTTTTGGACAGTCAGCGTCACCCAGGGCTTCTTTGAAAAATATGGGGGATTGTGGGCCGTGTGCTCGAGCCTGGGCTTCCTTCCACACGCGGGGCTTGCACACATCTGGTTCTCCTTGAGGTCCCCGCAGTTTGTTGGGGTTCACCCTGATGCCCCCGGGTGCCACGTCACTGAGCGGCACCAGGCTGCAAGGGAGTACGGACACTGTGTGGTGGCTCTCGGCTCCTCACGTCCTCGGCCCCCGGGAGTGGGGCAGCAGGAGGGGCCCTGGGCCAGACAGGGCAGAGGGGGCTGTGTTCAGCTTCATGTTCGGGGCAAAGGACAAGGGGTTTGGGGACGGTTTGAGCCAGGGGGCCCCTCCTCCGACATGCCTGCCTCCTCCCCTTTCATGTGCTGCACGTGTAGTAGTGTGAGCTGGGCCACGGGCCACATGGTGAGCATGGCGACCACCAGGTGGACCCCTTCCCTCCCTCCTGCCCCCCGAGTCAGTTCCCGTCAACAGCAGGAGCAGGCGTCAGCCCGTGGCACCTGGGGACAGCTTTTCTTTCTCCTGCAACGCTGGGGCCCAGTGTCCCCGACACCCAGCCCAGGCCGTGCTGGGCCCGTGTGGGCCACTCCAGCCACAGCGCGGTGGTCCCAGACCCCATGCGAGCTGGGGCCTCCGATGCAGCCGCCTTCCGATCCACCTGCAGGAGCTCGCCTGGACGGGCAGGCCCAGGAGGCAGGGTCGACGGCCTGGGGCCGTCCTGGCTACATATGCGCCCTCCCTTCCCTTGGGGCGTGGCGGCTCCCGGGCCCTGCAGCAGCCGGGGCCTCCCAGTGACTGGCGGGGACACCCAGGCGCCCCGTCCCGAGGGTGCTGCTGAGGTCAGGACGTGCCGAGGCAGGGCTTCCTGGGCACCGAGGGTCATGCCCCGTGACGGCTCCCCGCGTCACCCGCGGCCAGGCGAGGGGCAGGCCTGGGCCTGGAGCGCAGCACCCGTCTCTGCTCCCCTGGGCAGCCCTGGGCCGCCTGAGGGTGTTAGTTAAGCGGCTTGGCTGGGGCCCAGGTGTTGCACACAAAGGTTAGGACCAGCCCGGCCAATCGGGCACCAGATGCAGGCCCAGGTGGGACGCCCCCCCCCAGGGCATGCTGTGCCTGCGCTTCCTTCTGGAAGGCCGCGGGGGCGGGGTGTGGGGGGGCAGGCAGGCAGCACGGCTGTTCCCCAGGACCCGGCACCGGCACTGCCCGCAAGGGCTGCCCACACATGGCGCAACGAGGGTCAGTCCTTAGCAGAGGTGGGGGTGCCGGTGGCCCTCACGAAGGTGCGTGAAGTCAGCTCTGCTTCTCAAGGGGGTGAATGTCGGCCCCAGTAGCCAGTCTCCCCTCGAGGTGCAGCTAGTGGGGATCCTGCCTGGCCGGCCCGTGCTCGGGAGACCGTGCCGGGTACCGAGGGCGGGGAGGCAGCGGCGGTGCCCTGCCTTTGATGACCGCCGCCCTGGGAAGGGCCTTTGGTGGCTGTGGAGCAATGGGGACCCCACGGCCCTGACGGTGGCCCTCGCCCGGAGAGCCACACGCAGCTGGCGTGGCAGCCGCGACTCCCAGAGACCAACCCAGGAGTCCGAGCCCCAGAGCAGTCACACTCTGGGGCTGCAGACCGCGCACGTGTAGGGCCGCCTGGCGCCTCCACGGCCGGCGCAGAGTGACACCCGCTGGCCGGGGGCGCTGGAGGTGCTCCGAAACGTTTTATTTAAACTGTTTTTTAAAAGACAGCAATAATTAATGCCATGAACAGAACGAGAGTGCTGGCAAGTGCTTCCCGGCCCACTCCCCGCCAAGCAGGCCCCTGCCTGGGCCCCCTGGGCTCTGCCACTGCAGGGGGACGGGCCTGCCGGAGGCAGGACGTGGCCAGCTTTGGCAGGTGACACCGCCGGCCAAGGCCAGTGCCCCAGGTGGGAGGAGGCCCCCCGCCCAGCCCCCCGCGTCACCCTCGAGCGGCCAGAGCAAGCGGCCGGGGTGCTGGGGTTTCTTCCTGGTCATCGCCACAGGGAAACCACCCACCCTCGGGAGTCGGGACACACAGAATGACAGCCCAGGGACGCCCCGCCCCCCACGCCCTGGCAAGACGCCATGGCCCCCCCAGCTCCCAGGGCTGCCCCGTCCCTCCTCCCCTCCTCACGCCAATCCCACGTTTATTTTTGATTCTTTTTTTTTTAAAAAATATAATTTTGTAAATGTTCCATAAAAATACTATTATCCCTAGTCAAACACAGATATTGCAATATGAAGAGTAACTGCTTTGTCTTTGCTCTATAAAACTTGAAAAGATTATCACACCGGATAATATAGAAAAAGTGCCAGGATCTCTAAGTATCACAAAAGCCAGTACCAAGTGCGCACGGCGGAAGCGTGGCTGGGCCGGGCGGGGCGGGGCCTGCGCGGTGCAGCTGGGGAGCCGGCCGGTCCCTCTCCCCACGAGGAGGACGCCATGGCTTGGGAGGGACGGCCGGCTGCTCTACGGCCCGGGCACCGGCACTGCCCACGGGGCCGGCTGCTCGGCCCAAAGCACCGAATAGCCCAGCGACGCCGCCGGGACTGTGGTGGCCGCCCCGCTCTGCCGGCGAAGGGACAGCCGGCCGGCCTCTGTCCCTCCAGGCACGGGGGCGTGTGGGTGCACTCTCCTCGGGCAGGCGTGGAGCCTCCTGCGGTCCGGCGAGGCATGTCCCAGTGCGGCGTGGAGCCGGGCGCAGCCCCGGGCGCAGCCCCGTCCCTCGAGGGGAGCGTCCTGGACCCCGGGCGGGTGGGAGCCTGCGCTGCGCCTTCAGTTCTCCGAGAGGGACAGGGCCAGCGCAGCCTGCAAGGCGGCCTCCTCGTCGATGCTGTAGTCCTGGAAGACAGGAGCCGTGGATGGGGGAGGTGCCAGGGCCCCGGCAGCCAAGCCAGGCCACCCCTCCGCCTGTCGCCCCACGGACGCACCCATGTCCCCCGGGCTCCCAGCCTCCCCCCAGCAGGGCAGGACCTGGCCCGTGTCCCACAGCACACAGCCCCTGCGCGGGCCGCTGAGGGAGTCAGAGTGCCGTCCGCACGTGCGACTGTCGTCTGGCTCTGCCTGAGTCCCCGTCTCGAGCTGGCTCCCGGAGGGGCCCGGTGTCTGCACACGGGGTGCCCGGCGTGTGTGGGGTGGACGTGGGGTGTGGAGAGCTGTGCTTCCCGCTCAGGTTTGGGGACTGGGGTCTGGGGAGGAGCAGGCCAGCCAGGGCTGCGTGAGCTATGAGGATCTGGACCTGGGGCAGACGGGAGTGTGAGCTGGGAGGCTGGCACATGGGTGGCGACGAAGCCGTCACCAAGGCTGTCGGACAGGCCCGGGAGTCCACGGGGCTGGGCATGGTCTGCAGGCCTGGGGGCCTGGCACCTTCTGACCCGCTGCCGGGGGGACGAGAGACAGAGGTGGTCAAAGTCTCCCCGGATCTCTCCAGAAAGCTCCCAGGAAGAAGTCAGACTCATCTGAGGAGGGGGGCAGCCGGGAAGCCCAGGAGCAAACCGTCAGGCAGGACCTGCCCTGTGCGGCGCCAGTGCCCTCGGGGCCAGGTGCCCTGCAGCCGCCACGCCCCCTGTGGCACCCAGACCAGAGCGCAGCCTCACCGCGAGCTAGTGTGTGTCCAGCTCTCCCTGAACAGGGGACCCCAAGGCCGGCAGGTGGGGAGGGGACGGGGTGGGGGAGGGGGAGGCAGCCCCCGCCCGAGGGCAGGACACCCACCACAAAGGTGTCATAGGAGAACTTGTGCCGGTGGAGCAGGTGTTGCAGGAAGTTGGCGCTCTTGTAGCTGGGGTCACCCCAGGGCATCGCCGAGCAGATGGGGCAGACCTGGAATGGACGCCAGGACACGCTGAGCTGGGGGTGGGGCGGCTCCACGCAGCGGGGTGGGTGGGACTCCTGGGGTCGGTGCCCCTCAGGCCGAGCGCCCCGATCAGTGCCACCCAGCGTTCATGGGAAGGTGCGGGGAGCTTGGTCTGGGCCCTGCCATGCGACCGTCGCCCCGAGGGGGACGAGGACGCTCCTGGGCTCCCGCTGGGCAATGCCAGGGTAGGAGGGCTCCCTGGTCAGGAGGAGGGGCAGGAGGGCTCCCCAGTCAGGAGGAGGGGCAGGAGGGCTCCCCGGGCAGGAGGAGGGGCAGGAGGGCTCCCCGGGCAGGAGGAGGGGCAGGAGGGCTCCCCGGGCAGGAGGAGGGGCAGGAGGGCTCCCCGGGCAGGAGGGCTCCCCGGGGCAGGAGGGCTCCCCGGGGCAGGAGGAGGGGCAGGAGGGCTCCACGGGCCTGCGGCCGGCCACTCACCACACGGTTGGGGTCGCTGCGGTGGCTCTCCACGCAGTGCTTCAGCAGCTCCTGCTGGTCCAGGTTGCGGGCGCCGCAGTAGGGGCAGGCGAAGGTGGACCTGTTGGGGATGTTGCTGGCGGGGCGGGGGAGGGTGAGCGGCAGCCGAGCCCTGGCCCTCGCCCTCGTCTTGGGCTCTCAACACCCCGGGTGTCCCCGGCCCCAGGGCGTGGCTCCCGCAGGCCCCTCCTGTGATCTGGCGAGGACCCCCATGGGGCCCTGAACCCCCCTCCCCCAGTGGCTCCTACCTGGGGATGGGCTGGGACGTGGGCACCACGGGGGCGAACTTGGGGCAGTTGGCCATCTGCTCCTGGACCTTCAGGCAGGAGGACACGTGCACTCTCATCTTGGCCAGGGTCACCTGGGGCGGGCAGGAGGGCAAGGCCGTCCCTGAGGGCCCAGAAGGACAGCCCCGGGGAGGCCGAGCCTCGGGCGTCCAGGACAGGACAGACAGAAGCAGGCATCTGTGTCACTTGCGGCGAGGGGACCCAGTCCCTAACACAGTCAAAGGCCCTGAGCTGCAGCCTACGAGCAGGGCTCTTGGGAGAGACCTTGCGAGGGGCCAGGTGGGGAACAGACGGGGAGGGGAGGAGCCACAGCACCCTGGAGACCCGCCGCTGAGCTACACAGAGCAGGGTGGTCACCGCCCTTGAGCTGGCGCAGCTTGGAGCTACTGCCCATGGTGGTGTCATGCAGAAAGGGGCATTTATTAGGGAAAAACATACCTCCTGATGGGAACCACCAGGAAAAACTCTCTTAATGAAACTCCAAACCAGGTGTAAAAAGCACAACATGACAAAACCACCCCAGGCCAACCCTGAGTCCTGGCAGCCCGACCTGGCCCAGGGGACATGGAAGGGGGGCCTAGATGCTCTGGTGTCTGGGGATAGGTAACCCAGCATGGTTTACATAAACCACAAAGAGGCCGTGGCCAACCTTCTTGCTGCAGTGGTGGCCGTCTACCACTTAGCGAGAGACACAAGACTCAGGAAAAACATCTCACAGAACACAGGGACGCCTGCTTCCGTGAGTGAGCGCAGGGCCCGCCCTCAGCAGGCAGCACCACTCGGACGTCCAGGGTGACAGGTCCTCCTGGGGTCACTGCCAAGGGCCCCTCTGGACACCAGCCTGGCACCGATCCTGCCTGGGGCTGCTGGACACTGAGAGGCGGTGGCACAGCCAGGGTTGGAGGACGGAACGGCTGTGGTGCTGGCCAGCCGGCTCCCGAGGGACACGGAGGATCTTGATGTCTGTCTCCCCGGGGAGAGGAGCTTGGCCACGGAGCGGACCGGGAGGCGCTGGGACCTGGCTCAGCCTCACTACCGCCAGGGCCGAGGGCGGCCCCGGATGATACCTCGACCTCGGGACAGAGCATCGGGGACCGCCCCCACTGCGGTAACACCATGGACCTCATCAACCCGAGATACAGCAAGGGCGAGAGACGTAAATTCGACACGAATCCCTGGCTGCTGTGTGCACTGGAGCTGCTGGGGCAAGGGGACGCTGGCCGGGGCCTCCCACCCTGAGGTGAGCAGCATGGGTGTCAGGGAGGGTGGTGGGTGCAGGGGGTCGGGGGCGGCCGTGCCCCATTGGCTGGGCTTGGCGCTCCTGGGTGGAGGGTGCTCAGCGCTGGTGACACCCTCGACTCTGCCTCAGAGACCCCAAGAGCTGGCCCCACCCACCCAGCCCCGCCTGTCACAGCCCGCAGTGAGGACTGGGGGTGAAGCACCAAGTGCAGAGGCTGCACCTGGGGGTTCAGCTCCGTCCCGGGCTCCCTTCGCTAGCCTCGATGCACGCAGGTGCCAGGGCCCTCCCGTGAGGCCCTCCCTGGCTCTCTGGTGTCACAACGGGAAGCAGGAGATGGCGGGAGGGAGGAGGGGGCCGGGCTGGGCCGCCTCCCGCAGGGGCAGAGCAGCAGCTTGCTCAACAGGAAAGGGAGGCGGCTGGGGTGCCCGTCCCCCCGCAGGAAAGCGGAACCCGTGGCCAGAAGCTGCCCAGTTTGAACCCCCCTTCCCCCGCCCCGGGGAGGCCCGAGCGGGCGGTTACCTTCTTGCTGCAGCCCCGGCAGGGCGCCTTGTAGGACGAGAGCTGCTTTTCCACGTGGCCAGCCTTGTCCACCTTCTTGGGGTCAAAGGGCAGGCGGCAGAGAGGGCACAGGGGCGACGGCACCTGCAGGCAGGGCTGGAGGCACTCCCCGCAGAACCTGCCGAGGACGCGGGCGTGAGTGCCAGCCGGTCGCTCGGGCCTCCCGAGCCGCACCCCTCGCCTTGCTCAGGCCCCGTCCCCTGCCCTCGCACGCTCGGGACGTGAGGGGACAGCCCCTCCACCACTGTCAGTGTTTCTGGAGACAGTTGCTCCCATGCCCGAGGCCCACCAGCTGTTCAGGCCCCTCGGGCTAAGAGGTGACACGAAGCAGCAGGACCCTACTGTTCTCCGGCACGGGCAGAGTTGTAGCTCCGGCCCCCAGCACGGTGCCAGCCGGGACGAGCTCCCATGGGCCGGGGCCTGGGCTCTGCCTCACCCGGCCCTAGGGGTGTGGGGACGGCTCAGGGGGACCCCGGGAACTCTACAAGAGCTGTGCTCTGGGGAGTGAAATCGCTGGTAGTCAGGGGAAAAGGAAATGGCCAGCCCCAGGGACAAGGCAGGGCCAGAGCTGGCCAGGAGGCAGCGCACCCTCAGGCCTGGGGACAGTCACCAGCCCCAGGACAGCTCCCCGGCGGGAGGGGCCCCGGCTCCGTCTGGGCAGAGGCTCCACGAACACAGTGCACGCGGCTCCGGCCTGGCACGGGCTTGGGTGCCTGAGGCTCTGGGGGCCCCAAGCCCTTGGCCCCGTGCCCTGGAGACACCGGAGCTGTGACAGCAGCGCCCTGTGCTCACTTGGCCCCGGCAGCGGGAGCCTCCTGGCCTCTCGGGTCGCGCTCTCCCACCGGAACTCACAACCGCCTCCCACTGTGCACCGAACACGCCTGGGAGGAGACCTGGGCAGCAGGGACGCCAGCACTAAGCCCCATGGTGCAAAGACGGAAAGGAGCTGGAAGAGGACGGCCTGAGGAGCGGAACCACGGGGACACGCACGCGGGGGCAGAGCCCACAGCCCTCAAGATGGTGCTCGGTGCTCGGCCAGGCGGGTGAGGGGCGCTGGCCCAGAACCCAGAGAGATGCCGCTTTGCAGACGGCGAGAACCTGCCGTAGGCTGTGCACGACGTCACTCCCCCCCCACACCCCTCCCCCCGGCGCCCCGCCAGCAGGCTGGCCCGTGGCTGGGACTCGAGAACGTGCCGGACTCGCGGACGCCCCACTGGACTAAGGGGCCACCAAGGAGTCTGCGCACATCCCGCAAGACAAGGCCACGCTGGTGCGGAGCGAGGGCGGCGGGCCAGCGCCTCAGCCCCCGCTCCCCGAGCGCACTGGTTTCCGGCGGAGCCGCCGCCCGGCCGGTCTCTCCTGTACCCGGCTTTGCACCCGCATGGAGGCAAGATTCACGCTGAGACCCGAGACCTGTCGGGAAGCGAAAGTTCCTGACCCGCCTTTTCCTGCAGAGGAAAGAGGCCTCGCTCGTGGCTTACCCCACCCAAGCGTGGCGAGGTGTCACCAGGCAGGTTTCCAAGGGAGACACCCCCCCAGTGCCCCAGTGTTTCCAACCCTGTCCCTGTCCCTGACTGACAGCTGGGCGGCCTCTCACCTCAGCCTGAGCAAGGTGCTGGCGAGATGGGCCCCGCGGGGGGCGGGGGGGGCGGGGGGGACAGGAAGACCTGCCCACAGGTGTTCTCAGCACAGGTGGGGGCAGCCCAGGTGTCCATCAGCATACAGACAGGTGAACCAAAGTGCTGTCACAGCCACAGAAGGTCCTTCAGCCACAAAAAAAGGAGTGAAGAGGCTCTGACAGCACGACAGGTGGGGAGGCCGTGAGAACGGGATGCTGGGTATCAAAAGCCGAACACGGAAGACTGTAGATCGTGGGGTCCACCTACACGAGATGCCCGGCACTCGTCCACCAAAGACAAACCCAGGGACGGCAGGTCAGTGGCTGCTGGGGCTGTGGGGGGCAGGGGAGGATGCTTCCCGCGTGTCTCGGGTGGTGGCTGTGAACACACGAGAAACCCCTGGGCGGTACTCTGTAACTGAGGGAGTTGCAGGGCGTGTGACTTCTATCTCCAGAAAGCTCTTGGGGCCAAGCAGAAGGTGGGACCATGCGAAGTGGGCAGCTGACCCACAACCACCTGCTCAGTGCAAAGCCTGGGAAGGGTGACCCTGGGAAGAAGCCAAGGAGCTTGGTCAGGGGGCCAGCGCCCTCGTCCTTCCCCAGCAGGACACAGGGACACTCAAGAGGAAACCCAGCCCCGCGTGCGGGCCAGCCCAGCCGGCCCCACGTCCTGCCCCTGAGAAGCAGGAGGCAGAATCAAGCATCCTCGAGGTGGGGCGTGTGGCTGGTGGCCTAGTTTCCAGCCACTGCCACCCTGGTGTGCCGAGAACCAGCAGCCGAGAACAGCGCCCACTTCTCCCACAGGAAGTTCCTGCCAGCATCTGCCCAGGAACTGGTGCTGAGCAGCTTCTCAGCCGGACGAAGTGGCTGAGGGCAGTGGGTGTGGGGTGTCAACAGCCTCGCGGAGGCAGCTGATACTGGGACTGCCAGCAGGGACACCGGTCCACAACGGCTCCTTGGATGTGTCACTTCTGCCTGGGCCTCCTGCACCCACCAGGAGCCAGGACAAGCCAACGTGTCAGAGATGTACAAGGCCAGAGGGCCAGGCCCCCCACCGAGACCTGTCACTGTCTTGACCAGGTGGGGACTGCCTTCCAAAGGCCTTCCAGGCAGTCTCGTGACCTGCAGATGTGGCTCACTGCTTGGGCTGTCCCCCAAGTGTGACAGCCAACAGGTCCTGCTGGGCTCCAAGGAATTCCTGCGAGCTCCTCTGCACAGCTGCGCCGAGGGGCCTCCCGCCCTCCCCTCGTCTCTGTGATGGAGCCGGGTGCCTGCCCCACACTGGGACACACTCGCCACAAGAAAACCTACTCTGGGGAAGGAAACTGCTTGCGGTCAGGGAGCTCTCGGAGGGGAAGGAATCAGCAAACATTTTAAAGGAAACACGTGAGCCTTTACGCTTTCTGTGCCCATCTGCACCCACGACACAGCGACACCTGACCAGAAATCGAGAGCATTAGAGGCAGCAAGAGAACAGCCAGAAAGTACAGCTGGCAGAAGAGCCAGGAGGAAACCTGAAGGCAAAGGCCGAGTGAAGGGCCCCTGCAGGACCACGAAGATAAAGAATTGTCAGCCCCGCCCAGGAAAGTGTGGGCAGGTGAGAGGGCTTACAGGAGAGACGCTTCTACAGTTCTGTGCGGTCCTGTGTTCTGAAAACTACAGTCTAAGAGATGATACTTGGGGGAAAAAAAGAGCAAATACAGATTTATGCAGATGAAACCAGAATGCTGTGGTCCGCATCGGGGTGAAGGTGGGTGAAGGGACCCGAAGCCTATGAAAAACGCTTTCTAAGGTGAGACCAAGACAAGCCTTGACAGCTCCCAGCAATGGACCGGGAGATGCGGAACAGAAACACACACCCACCAGTAAGTGCTCACAAGCAGTGAGTCCTGTTGGGAGGCCGCCCCACCAAACTGTCACAGCGGAATGTGACTGAGCAGGAGCGGCACCCTTGGCACCCTTACAAGAGAAGTCGGCAGAGCCCTGCTCGCGTGGGCAGGCGCCTGTGCCACCTGACACCGGGGGCCGGGAAAGGAAGGCGGCTCTGGATCCTGACTGTCCCTGCCGCCCGCCTCCCTGGGTGACTGGCACACACACCCCCGGCAGTTCCAGCTCCCCCTTTGTATCAGGAGGCTCTGAAGTCAGCTGCTTTTTCTTGCAAAATGTTCTAGGGCCTCCTATCTGCCTGGGTGCACTGGCCCAACCCCTACGCCTTGGCAGCCTGGTCTGTGGGGAAGCCCTCCTGCCCTCTAGCTCCACAAGGCCAATTTTGCTCAAGAGCTGACTTAATTCAGCACTTAGGAGGTGTCTTGGAGCAGCCACTCTGAGCCCCATGCCTTCCTAACCCGGCTGGCAGCTCCAGAAGACTTGAGCACAGCTCCCTGCAGTAAGGAGACGCACGTCCTTGAAGTTTCTGTTCCTGAAACACCCAGGGGACCCTGGTGCAGCTGGAGACCTTTGCAAGGTGCTTGGTATCTGGGCCCCTGTGGGCCAGCCTGGCTATTCAGTGATCAGTGTGACTCAAGTTCTTCAAAGCATAACAAAACACCACCAGGTTCCCAATCAGCCTCTCTCCTAACTTTAGGGAACTGTTGTACTCAAAACAAGCAGACAGTAGGTCTGAAAAAGAGTTGGCAGCAAAAGCCACAAGTCATTTATTTACAACTGTCCGCCCCACTCCACCAGACCGAACCCACGGCGACTGGCGCAGCGGTGGCGTCTGCGGCCATCTGAGTGCCCCGGCGGCCCTCTGTGGCCGTCAGCAGCCCCCGGGGGCCCTCGCGCTGGGTAGCGCTGCAGGTAGTCCCCGTGTGCCCAAGGGGTGGTCGGATCGAGCCCCGGAGCCGGCGGGCAGCAGCCTGGGCTGAGGACGCTCGTGCGGAGGGCAGGGACGGCCACGCAGGGAGCCCGGACCCCCAACGCGCCCCGAGTCGCCGCGCCCCCGAGTCCCCGCGCCGGGGCCGCACCCGGACGGCCGCCGGCCTTGGGACCCCTCCCCGGGGCGGGTCGCGGACCCCGCCGCCCCCCGGGCCGGCGCGCTCACGTGTGGCCGCAGCTGCCGATGGCCACGGGCCGGTGGTAGACCTCCAAGCAGATGGGGCAGCTGTACTGCGCCTCCAGGCCGCTGTCGCCGCCCGCGGGCCCGGCCGGCGGCTGCCGCTGCTGAGCCGAGGCCACCAGGCTGCGGAACATCGCCATCCCGGGGCCAGGCCCACGCCGCCGCCGCCCGCCCCCTGTCCTGGCCCGGCCCGGTCCGGCCAGGCCCGCGCGTCACGGCCGCGACGGCGCCGCGCTGACGTCACCAGCGCGCGCCCCGCGCCGGCGCTGCGCTAGCGTCATATGGGCGCGACTTGCGCCGGTGTCGCTGCTTTCAACGCTGCCGCCTGGGACGGGACCCCGGAGACCATGTGTCAGGTGGGCGAGGACTACGGGGAGCCGGCAACCGAGGAGCCGCCGCCGCCAGCGCCACGGCCTGGGTAAGCTGGCGGCCGTGAGCCCTGCCCGCGCTCGCGCTCCTGGGCGCCCCGGGAGGGACCCTAGTGGCTGTCTGCCCAGCCCCTGGAGGGGCCGGCCCTCGCGCCGCAGCACCCGCGGCGTGGCCGTCAAGCCGGGGACGAACGCCCCGGGAGGGGTTCGCTCTACTGGCTCGCACCTCTAATTCTAGCAGCCGCTGGGGACGGCCCTGCCGCTGACAGCGCCCTGGAGGCGAGGTCGGCCCCCACTGCCGCTGCCACACGCTGGTTCCATTTCTCCCTCAGGGCCCCACAGAACAAGTTCTGTGTCTTCCCGCGGTGCCAGCCCCCGAGATTGAGAGGCAGTCTTTCTGGGCGAAACTTTCCTCTCAGAGCCTTTGTCTTTGTTGGTAGTTTGGACAGAACCCCAGCCCTGGTTTGTGTGTGTGTGCCTGGGTGTCTTTGACCCAGCTCAGGGTGAGAAACAGGAGTTGTCTCCCCAAAGCCCACTGGGAGTGGGGGGGATGTCCTCTGCATTCACGTTCTCTTCTCCCCCTCACACCTCCAAAGCCGTGAACACAAGTGTGTGAAGTGCAAGGAAGGCCCCCCGGTGGTGGTGATCCGAGCAGGAGATGCCTTCTGCAGGTGAGGCCCGGAGGTGGGTAAGAGACTGTGACAAAGATGGTCTTGTTCAGCAGCCAGGATGGCCCCAGTTTCTGAAGCTTTATTTCTTCCTTTTGAAAGCATTTTGCTATTTTATTCCTACTTGTCGTGTTGGATCCTGTGACCCTGGTGTTGAAGCGGTGAGTGTTGATTTCCCGCTTGGATGGCAGTCTCCCGCGATCTAGCCACAGGTGGGGGCAGGAAGGGCTCTGATGGAGAGTTGAAAGTGAGGGTGGGTGCCTAGATTGGAGTAAAGTGCAGGAGGGATGGGCGTTTGGGGGGAGCTGGGATACATCCAGTGGCAGATCAGAGCATCCTGGGAACCCCGGCAGGTGCTCTGGATGAAAGCTGTTTACCTCACGAGATGCCTTTTTCTTTTTTTTTTTTTTTTTCTTGGAGAGTGGGGGAGATAGAGGGTTGGAAGGAGAGCTCCAGCCTTCTCCAGGTCTGGGGGAACCCTTTGGACCAGAGCAGATTCAAATTCCCAGAGGGGCCAGGGCATGAGGATGCTCCATTTTATCCATAATTCTTTTTTTTTTTTTTTGAGACAGAGTCTCTGTTGTCCGTGTTAGAGTGCCGGGGCATCAGCCTAGCTCACACCAACCTCAAACTCCTGGGTTTAAGCAATCCTTCTGCCTCAGCCTCCTAAGTAGCTGGGACTACAGGCATGTGCCACCATGCCCGGCTAAATTTTTCTTTTTCTATATATTTTTAGTTGGCTAATTAATTTCTTTCTTTTTTTAGTAGACATGAGGTCTTGCTCTTGCTGGTCTTGAACTCCTGACCTCAAGCGATCCTCCTGCCTTGGCCTCCCAGAGTACTAGGATTACAAGTGTGAGCCACCACACCTGGCCCGATTTATCCATAATTTCTGTGGCCCTGTCCTGTCTTCCTTGGGGTTTATTTTAATGTTCAGTTGTTTTCATTAGATCCATAGCTCCCCAAGGGCAAGGCCAAGTTTCTCTCATCTTAGTCCTCTTAAGGACTAAGTTGAGTGCTTTTATTTGCATAGCATATGTCTGTTGAATGAGTGATGACCTCACATTTTTAAACTGGTCCTCAAGAATCTGGGGTTCTGTTTTCTAAAACGTTCCAAAACAAAACAGGTTGGAGGGGGTACACTCAGTAGAGTGTTTTCCACAAACTTTCTCGTTCATGACCATCTTTTGGGAGCCTGGTGGGTTGAAAGGTGAGGTATGTGCCACGTGAAATGCATTTTGGGCAACTCAGGCGCTGCTTTAACCACCCAAGAGCGTCTGAAAACAGTGACTGCTCCAGTCTGCTGGAGAGTTCACTGAGGAGAGGGGCTGCGGTGGCTCCTGGCCAGGCTCTTGTGGCCTTCGGGGCCCCTTCTCAGGCTCAGAGGTTTCCCCTGCCATGCCTGCTGGGGCCTGAGAATGGATGGGAAGCCAACCCTCCAGGTGGAGGTTTCGGAATTCTAGGTTTTGAGCGAGGTTCCCCAGCGATTGTTAAGAACAGGCATGTGTCAGGAAATCTGGCCTTGGGACAGCGAGGTTTCAGGAGTCTAGACACAATGTGTCCACACGAACCACGCTTGAATCCCAGCTGGTAGTACAGGGAGCGGCAGGTGATCCTCACCCACACTGGGCAGGTGAAGTGCAGCACCTGTGTCCCCTCTCGGTGAGACTCCCCACACCCTGAGCTACTTCCTGGGGAGGCACCTCCCTGTTCCCCCGTTGGCACTTGCTGGCCACCTGGAGTCCCTGGACCCAGTGTTTTGCTGTTACACACGGAGTTGCCCGTGGGATGTTTGGTTGACTTTGTGTGTGTGTGGCCCATTGGCAGGGATTGCAGTATCTGACAGGAAGACAGGACCCAGGGCATGGGCCAGGTGCAGTGTAACCTCCTGTGGCAACATTGCTCCCCTCTGTGCCAGGCCCGGCTCTCCACTCTGCCCACCAGGTTTGCAGGGGAGCGTTGAGGCAGTCTTGGGTCCCGCCCCTAAATTCTGACTCAGTTGGCCTATGTGATCCTGACCTGCAGACAAAGCTGAGGACCTGGTGACGAGAGTCAGCTGGAATGTTTATTAACACAGCTTACCAAGCCCTGTCCAGAGGTGTGCTTCTGTGGGTTGGGGGGCCAAGCCCAGGCCTGTGCCTATGCGTGAGCCTCATGGCTACTTCTGAGCCAGGTGGGCCCAGCTCACCGTGGAGCTAGGTGTGGAGCCCCAGGGCACTGGGTCCTTGCTGCGGCCTCTCAGCGTCTCCCCACTTCACCCCAGGGAGGGGGTGCTTGGGAGCAGGTCATCAGCTCGATTTTTTATGGGGGTCGGGGGTTGCCTTGCCCTGCATGTGGCTCAGTCTGTCCACTCTGCCAGCTGGGTCCTTTCTGAGCACCAGCAGGTGCAGGTGGTGCCTGGGCTCTGGCCCCCACGCACCATGCACCTCACGCATGGTGGGGATTATTGGGGGGACCCCAGTGAGCCTCATACTTGCCCTAGGGAACCACAACTGGGAGAGCCCCTCAATCCCAGTCCCCTTTGCAGCTCTCTGGCCAGAGCCTCAATGTGATAATGTTGCTTTTAAAGGTGAAAATTGCTACAAGAAGGAAAAAAATGTAACCCAGCAGGGCCTCAGGGCCCTGAGGTACAGAGCTGCTCCGGGCTGTGCAGGTGCAGAGCTGCTCCTTTATCTCAGTGTCTGTGTTGCAGGGATTGTTTCAAGGCCTTTTATGTCCACAAGTTCAGGGCCATGCTGGGGAAGAACCGGCTCATCTTCCCGGGCGAGAAGGTAACGTCTGAGTCCTGGGTTCTGACTGAGTGAGCAGCCTGGCCCTGAGGCTCGAGGCATCTGCTGTCCCTCCCATGGGTGGCCTGGGTGCCACAGCCCTGCAGCCCCTCCTTGGGCTTCAGGGGTGGACGTGCTGTCTGGGGCTATCCATGAGGTGGGGTGGATACACGTGTGCGGGAGACGTGGTGTTCAGTGCTTTTCTCCCCCAGGTGCTCCTGGCATGGTCGGGGGGGCCTTCGTCCAGCTCCATGGTCTGGCAGGTCCTCGAGGTAGGTCTGCACCACCCTCCAGGTCCAGGCTGCTGGGCAGAGCTTCAGGGCAAGGGGGTCTTGGGGCTCTTGTTGGTGTCCCAGTTTAGCGCTGTCCATCTGCTTGGGCTGCGCAGCCGTAGTTACCGGAAAATGGTGGTGGCAGCTCAGCCAAGCGTGACCTGAGGGGGAAATGGAAGGGGAGTTGCCAGATGGAACAGGGGAGCAACAGTAGGACTGGGGACTGACTTAAGCTGCACAGGGGCATGGCTGAGGGTGGGGCTATGCCCTGGCATGTCCGGGGCCAGCTTGGGATGTCCAAGGCAGGTCTCTCCACACTCAGTGGCGGGTGTCAACTGGAGGAGGCTGTGGCCATGGGAGGGCAGGCAGGGTGAGAAGGGAGGGGTCGGTGGCCCAGGCTGGCATGTCTGTGGCTGGTTTTCTGCCCACACCTTAAGGTCCCCTGCACCTGCCTGGGCGGTGTGTGAGGTAGCCCTCCACCCCACTACTTGTCCAGCGCCTGGCACTGCCCTCCTGTGCCCAGCCATGCACTGCCCTCCTGTGCCCAGCCATGCACTGCCCTCCTGTGCCCAGCCATGCACTGCCCTCTGCACGTTACTGTCTCCACTCCTGTGTCTGAGTGTGCTCGGAGTGGTCAGAGGTGCCGGGGTAGGTGGCACGGTGGACCCAGCTTCCTCTTTTGGGGCATCGCTGGGACGTCAGGGACAGGCTGGTGAGGGCTTCTTGTGAAGTTTCTGCAGACGGGGGCTTTTCCCCGGGGGAGTGAAGACCCCGTGTGTGAGGCTGTGCAACCATGCCTGCCTGGCACCAGGTCCCAATGGCCTTATCTACTAAGTGGGGTCACTTTACCTTCGGGGAGGGCACGAAACCCCGATGAGAAACGTTCTCAGCCGGGAAAGTGTCCCATGGCTTGTGGCTGGGGCCCACGTCTCTGACACCTCTCCCCCCCAGGGCCTGAGTCAAGATTCTGCGAAAAGACTGCGCTTCGTGCCAGGAGTCATCCACATTGACGGTGCGTGTGGCCATCGCTCCCCCCAGAACCCAGTGGCCGGGGGTGGGCTCTGCTGCCCCCCTGCTAGGATTTGTTGAGAACTGCTGGTGCCGTCCCCATATTGAGGCCCTGGTGGGGACATTTCTCTGAAGTGGGCAACGGATGTGTCCACTGTTAGACACACCACCGCTGTTCCTGGGCCTCAGCCCATTGTCAGGAGGTCTGGGGGGAGCGGGGAGTGGCACGCAGCCCCCACCATGGGGCCTGGGGACTGAGAAGGGCGCGTCTTGGTGACAGTGGCAGGGTATGCAGGGCCACGTGCCGCCTCCCCAACCCTGGCTGCTGTGGGACGGCCACAGGGGAGAGCCCCGCCCGCTCTGCAAACAGCCCCCCAGGCAAACAGCATCCACCACACCCCGCCCAGCCTCAGAGGGCCTCTCCCTGCTGAGGTGGCCCTTGGTCCCCCCGCCTGAGCTCCTCTGCCACAAGCCGGGATGTGCTGCCTCATCCTGCCGGTTTTTCAGAGGGAGCAGCCTGTGGCCAGAGTGCAGAGGACAGGGCAAAGACGCTGGCCCAAGTGAAGCAGGTCCTGCAAACCGTCGGATTCCCGTGGCACTTAGTCGCCTTAGAGGAGGTGAGTCGGCCCGTCCCTGGAGGTGACCGCTGGGTGTCCATGGGGGGGCGCACGCCTGCCACTCACTGGGCCTCCGTGTCCTCGTGTGTTTGCGAGGGTAGGCGTGGGCCCTGGCCTCACCGCCCTCTCCCGCGTCCCGCCAGGTGTTCGGCCTGCCGCCGTCCGTGCTGAGCTGCCCCGTCCCGGAGCCGGCGGGGGCCGAGGGGGCCTACAAGGCGGCCGTGGACAGTTTCCTCCGGCAGCAGCAGGTGCCTCAGGCTGAGGGCGCCCAGGACGGCTCCAGCCCGGCCCAGGAGCAGGGGCAGCTGTGCCAGCCCCACGTGCAGAACCCCCCGGGCCCGGCAGGGTCACCCACAGCTGCCCAGACTGAGGCTCTGTCCAGACTGTTCCACTCGGTGAAGACGCTGACGGCCAAGGAGGAGCTTCTGCAGACCCTGCGGTGAGTGCCAGCCCCACCCAGTCCTGACATCCTCCCCAACCGTCTCCAAGGACCCCATCTTAGGGTCCCAGCCCCACAGGCCTCTGAGCCAGTCTACTCTGCAGGACCCACCTGATCCTGCACGTGGCCCGAGCCCACGGCTACTCCAAGGTGATGACCGGGGAGAGCTGCACCCGCCTGGCCGTCAAGCTCATGACCAACCTGGCACTGGGGAGAGGGGCCTTCCTGGCCTGGGACACGGTACGCAGGCGCCCAGGGGCCCAGAAGGCCTCCCCGCCCTCCTCCTCCAGTCCCGGGGTCTCCCACACGGAGCGGGGGTGGCGGGCAAGGGGGCGCAGTCGGCCCTCAGCCACACGGGCCCCACCTCCCCCAGGGCTTCTCCGACGAGCGGCACGGGGACGTGGTGCTGGTGCGGCCCATGCGGGACCACACCCTGAAGGAAGTCGCCTTCTACAACCGCCTGTTCGCCGTCCCTTCCGTCTGCACGCCGGCCATCGACACCAAGGTGAGGGCGCGGGCCGGTGGGAGTGGTCTCCCTGCCAGTCTCAGAGGTCGCCAGTGACGGGGCTACGTCCCGTCAGTGCCAGTAGCAGCGTCCCCCAGGGTGGGCCACTAAGCCCACCGTGTGCCTTGCAGGGGCCAGAAGCAGCCGGTGACTGGTCTCTGGCCCTGAGAAGGGTGATGGGGTGTTGTGATGCCCCTGCAGGCAGACTGTGGCGGGGGTGGGTGGGTGGTCATCAGACCGCCCCTCCAGCCCTGACACGGGCAGACCCAGCACCTGGCCGCCACATGGACCCACACAGCCCCTTCTCCTCGTTCCCAGGCCCCCGAGAAGGCCAGCATCCACCGGCTGATGGAAGCCTTCCTCCTGCGGCTGCAGACCCAGTTCCCCTCCACCGTCAGCACCGTGTACAGGTGCGAGGGGAGGGGCTGGCTGAGCCGCCACCTGCGCTCGGGCCTGGATGGAGCGAGGCTCCACTGAGTGTGTGACCTGCCCCCACTGGCCGCAGGACGAGCGAGAAGCTGGCCAAGGTGCCCAGGGACGGCCGTGCTGCTGGACCCCGCTGCCTCCTCTGCATGTGCACGCTGGACGTCGACGCTGCGGGTGGGTGCCGGGGCTGGGGGGAGCCGGGGAGGAGGAGGTGGGGTTCAGCAGCGCCAGGATCGCCTCAGCCTCTGTCCCCTTACAGACAGTGCCACGGCCTTTGGGGCTCAGACTTCGTCGCAGCTCTTCCAGACGCAGCCGGCCCCTGCCCTGCCTGAGGCCGGGGCCCCCCCGGCACCCTGCTGCGTTCCCGGGGTGGGCAGGGCCCAGGACTGCTGCAGGGCGGCCTGCGGGAGGTGAGTCCCTGCCCCTGGCAGCTGCACGGAAGGTGGGGGTCCCACGTCCTCCCTGCCCTGAGTGGCCGAGGTGGGGCACACAGCCAGCTCTGCTTCTGCAGGGAGGAGCCCCGAGCCTGCGTCATCGAGCAGCTGTGCTACGGCTGCCGTGTGAACATGAAGGACTTGGTGAGTGGGTGTCCTCACAGCGGGCAGGGTCAGGCTCATGGGGGAGTGGGTTCCATGGCTGCACGGCCCCTCACCATGCTGGCTCTTTTGCAGCCCTCCCTGGAGCCCCTGCCCCCCTACATCCTGGCCGAGGCCCAGCTCCGCAGCCAGAGGTACCAGCGCCCCTCCCGGGAGCCCCTTCTGGGCGGGAGCTCCCAGGGCCCGGTCCCAACGGGCCGCCTTCCCCCCAAAACCCCGGGCCCCCAAGAAGGCCAAGAAGAACCGAACCGGGAAAACCAACGGGAAGCCCCCGAAAACCGAACCCCCAAGACAAGGCACAGCAGGCACTCGCCCCAGGGGAGGCAGGGTGGGGGCCCCCCTGCGCTTGTCTGTATAAATAAAAATGTTTTTAATTAGAAAACTCTACAGTACTCAAAGGGAGGGCAAGGGGACTCAGCGTCCTTCTGACAGCAGCATCGGCTCAGGTGGGCCAGGAGGAGAGGTCACAGCTGCGCCCCGGGTGGCGCCGCCCCTTAGTCCCGGGGCGCCGGCCCCTACTCCTTCTCTCGGGTCCACTTGATCATGGTCTCCGGCGAGCGGTACAGGAAGATGAGCTTGGCGTACAGCTCCTCCTCCAGCTCCAGCTCGCGGGTCTCCCGCACCAGGAAGATGTCCTGGCACAGCTTAAGGATGCGGTCCACGCACGGCAGCTCCTCGAACATGATGGAGTGCGAGATCTCGCTGAAGAAGCCGCGCACGAACTTGCCGATGACCAGCACGATCGACACATACAGCCCCATGATCCTGCGGGGCAGGGCGGGGGTGAGTCCTGGGGTGCCGGGAGCCCCCCAACTCCGCGCAGCAGAACGTCCCCGCGCTGCACACTCACCCGTAGCCGGCCAGGAAGCCGAGGCTCGGCGGGCTGACCTTGTCGCTGAAGATGACCATGGGCAGCAGGTTGCAGTCGGCCTGGCAGTCCTGCAGCTCGATGACCCACCACTCGAGGAAGCCGGCGGCCCCCGTGCCCACGCGCTCCCTGCGCAGCTGCAGCCGCACGCCCAGGTAGTCGTCCTCCTCACCTGTGCCAGAGCCAGGTGGCGGTTGGGGCCGGGGCCCAGGGTGTGGCCTGCCCCCCAGGGTCCCCCCACCCCCACACTCACCGGGCTGCAGCTGCTTCACCGGGTTGGCTTCAGGCCCGACAGGGGCGCGGATGTACTTGGGAAAGAGTTTGGTGATGACGCTGTGGGGAAGAGCCGGTGTCAGGCCCCGCCCGCCTGTCCGCCCTCCTGCCCCCGCGCGGCCCTGCCCCCAGCCCACTCACACGGACTGGGCCGAGGTGCCCTCCAGCAGGCTGGCCAGCTGCAGCCGCTCGGGGCTGTTGGGGGCCAGGTCCAGCGTGTGCTTCTCGTTGGTGTACTCCACGGTGCCGCCCTTGGCCAGGTCCCTGCGGGGGGCACGGCGTGAACCACGGGCCGGAGCAGGGCGCATGCCCCGGGCCCCGCCCCGGGTGCGGGACACACCTCTGGAAGTTCCAGGTGAAGCGCAGAGTGATGTTGGCAGTGCCGTTGTACAGCTCCCGCTTCATCTGCGCCCGGCTCGGGGGGCTGATGCGCCACAGCGTCCCGGAGCTGCCCTCGATCTGCGCCGTGACGATGTCCTCGGGGCTGTACTGGCTGATGAACTGCATGGCCAGCTGGGGGCCGGTGGCCCTGGTCAGCGGGGTGCAGCCGCCGCCACCTCTCCCCCCACGAGCTGTCCCCTCCCCACGGGCCACTCACCGGGTCGGGGTCGAACTTCCGGGACAGCTCCTCGTAGGCCTGGGCCGTGAAGGGGACGATGGACGGCTGCTGCGCGCTCATGGTGAACAGCGGCTGGGGTGGGGACAAGGTGACGCGGCTGGGAGCCCGCCAGGACCCGTGCGGGGCCCACCCGCGTCCGCGAGAACGGGAGGGCGGTGCCGTGATGCCGGAGCCCCCGGTGGACGGGGGCTGAGCCGAGGCGGCCTGCTGCTGCTCACCTCGTAGCCACCCAGCTTGAGGGTGACGGTGACATCGATGGGCTGGTTGACGACACCGACCACGGAGCGCACCAGCGACATGAAGAGCAGCGGGAACCAGATGATGGCGATGAGAAAGAGGATGATGAGGCCGCCCATGCCGTACTTGACGACCTTCTTCTTCTTCTGCCCCTTGGGCTGCGGGTATTTCTAAGGGGGGGTGACAACAGGATGTGACCCGTCACCTGCTCAGCTCTGGCCTGGCTCGCCCATAGCCCAGCCTCGACGCGGACTGCAGAGCCGCCGCAGTCAGGACGGACATTAGGGGACGGGACGAGGGCCCAGACAGGAACCCTCACGTGAGGGTCAAGTGGCTTCAGACAAGGGCGGGGCTGGTCTTCCCAACGCCGGGTGCCGCAACAGCCGGGGAGCCCTGGTCCCACGCGTGACCGAGAGTGAAAACTAAAACTACAAGAGGCGAATCTTCGAGACCTTGGGTTGGGCAAAGGCCTTGGACAGCACCGAGTCCCCCTGGCCTGGCGGCCCCTGGGGACAGACCCCCACAGGCCTGGCTCTCGCGGGGCAGCCCACCCCGCCCCCACCCGGGCCCAGGTACCTTCTCGGTCTCGCGGCTGCACTTGATGATGAAGATGTTGGCGTAGATGTCCTCCACGCACATCCAGCTGGACAGCGACAGCGTGGTGTCCGTCCACACCCAGTCCATCACCGCCCGCAGCTCCACCAGGAACGGCACCAGCCGGAACCTGCCCACGGCCAGGGCTCCCGTCAGGGCGTCTCCCACGTGGGCTCGGCCGCGCCCCCCTCCCCAAGACCCCAGGCCAGACCCACACGCACCCCTGGAAGAGGAAGAGGTTGAGGTGGTTGTACTTCTTGGTGAGGAAGTTGCCGAGGATGCGGGTGGGGTAGCCGCAGCGGATCTGGTAGGCGGACAGCGCGAAGTAGATGCACTTGACGAAGTACCACAGCTGGGCCACCGCGTTCTGGCTGAACATCCTGGACGGGGCGGGCAGGTCAAGGGCCCGCTGGGACCAGGCTCCTGGAGGCCAGAGGCCCCCAGTCCGGCCCACACAGCAGGGATCCCCCGCCCAGCACCTCCCCGGGGCGCTGCCAACCTCTCGGTGACGGCGGGCAGGATGAAGAACATCCAGAGGTGGATGGCCAGCACCAGGACCACCTGGAAGGCCAGCTTGCCCAGCACGGTCTTGCGCAGGTAGAGGGCGCGGTCGACCACCATGGTGCTGAACTGGATCAGCAGCATGACCAGGAAGGCCTCGGGCACCTGGTCGTCCGACAGGGAGGACGTGATGTCCGTGGCCGCCGAGTGCTTCTGTGGCCGGGAGAGCACAGAGCACAGGTGGGTCAGCGGGAGCCGCAGCCGCCGGACTCCACCCTCACTGGGGGGTCCCGACCCGGCTCACCCCAAAGGCCCAGAAGCCAAAGATGATGATGATGAAGTCCACCACGTCCGCCAGAAACATGAGGGCGTAGACGTCGGTGGCCGCACGGTACTTGGTGTGCAGAATGTCGTGGAAGAAACGCCGCAGCGGCCGGTACACGCTCTGGGCCCTGCGGGCGGGTGGACTCAGCTGGGTGCCGCCTGCCCCTGCTGTCTACCCCCTCCCCGGCCCAGCCACTCCCAGGCCCGGCGACTCACAGGGCCAGGCAGAAGCTCTGCAGCCGGAGCCCGGCTGCCCTCACTCTTTCTCGGGCGCGGCTTGGCTGCTTCTGTCTCCCCGAGGCAGCCTCTGTCTCCTCCGTCTCCTCCTCCTCCTCAGCTTCTGTGGGGGAGAAGACACCGCTCCCTGAGCCCACTGGGGACTCAGGCCAGCCCAGGGCTCCTGCCCACCCCAGGAGGCCAGCAGGAGCCTCCCGGCGTTGGCAGCTGGGGCCGTGTCCTCTGGGGGTGGCACAGGTCAACAGACCTCACCCTGTGCCTGGGAGGCCAGCAGGGCCATCCTGGGGTCCGGGCAGGCCCTGCAGGGGGCCTGGTAGTGTCATCTGAAGGAGAGGCCCTCCCCACCCACCTCCCCACAAGCATGGGGGGCAGGAGCTCCACGCGGAGCACTGGGGGGGCTGTGGTCAGAGCTACCATACCGACGGCTGCGGGTCTTTCGGGCTCCGGGCTCTCCTTCTTCCTCCTCCTCAAACGCAGACTGAGGTGCCGCATGCTGCGGGGCTTCTGCTCCCTCTGGGGCTCTGGGGCCCCGTCCTCGGCCCCGCCCCTCACTTCCACCTGCACGTGGTCCTCGGCGGGGGCCTCGGGGACCTCTGCACCCTCCTGGGGCCCCTCCTCAGCCCCCCGCTCCTTCCTGCCGGTCCTGTCGCTCCCCTTGGACGGCGGGTCCTCCTCGTGGTCCCAGAGGCCGTAGCACTGCGGGAGAGGGCGGTCAGCAGGCCGGCGGGCGCCGGGCCGGCCCTGCCCACCCGCCGCGGCCGCGGCCCACCAGCAGCTGGGAGCGGTGGAAGAAGAGGGCCATGAGCTGCACCAGGTCGCACTGGACGTAGCCGTCCGTCTTCTCCAGCCCCAGGATGCGCGGCGGGAAGTAGGGCTTGTTCTCGTAGCGCCGCCGCACGGCGTGGCTGTTCCAGGGGAAGAAGCCGAACTGGAACAGGTACTTGGTGACCACCGTGACCTGCGGGGAGGGGGCTCAGCAGGGGGCCGGGGGAGCAGGGGTTGGGGTGAGGCCGCCCCGCGCCCGGCCGCCCGCCCACCTCGGTGAAGACGATGGCGGTCATCCAGAAGCGCTTGCTGGGCCGCGGGATGGACAGCATGGCCCACAGGAAGACCAGCACGGGCAGCACCAGGGAGTTGGCGGAGGCCGTGACCATGTGGTTGAGGATGATGACGAAGTAGCAGAGCAGCTCCGAGTGGGCGGCCACGCACTGGTAGGCGGCCCGCAGCAGCCGCAGCGCCCGGCCCTGCCCCTCCGCGAACCGCTCCGCCTCCTCCAGCTCCGGGATGTGCAGGCACCTGCAGGAGACCGCGGAGCTGGGGCCCGGCAGCCACACGAGGCCCCCAGGGGACGGGCGGGCTCCCGACCCCGGGCCGGCTCCCGGGCAGCCCTGCCACGTTCCCCCCGCAGGGCCCAGCATGGCTGCACCTGTGCAGCAGCAGCTCGCTGGCCGTGCGGGCACGAGGGCTGGCGGGGAGCTCCTGGGAGCCGCGCAGGGAAGCCTTGGCCTCCCCGGGGCCGGCGACGGCCTCCTCGCTGCCGCTGCGCGTGTGGTAGCCGGTGCTCAGGGGGCTGCTGGCGTCCGTCACGCTGCTCAGCTGCTCCTCCGCCCCCAGCCCGCTGCGGAGGGACGTGGGTCAGAGCCGGACCTGGGCTCCGGGCAGAGCAGGGAGGAGCCCAGGGTGCTCTGGGGGACAAGGGGACGGTGAGGCGGGGTGGCCAGGCGGGGCCACAGCTCAGGCCTGGCGCTCGGGGGCCAGCGGCAGGAGGGTCCTGGCTCACCCCCGGGGCCGGTGCCCACCTGGACGCCGTGCTCGGTGCCTGCTGGGCCTCCGAGGGTCCTGGCAGCGCAGCCTCGCTCGTGTACAGCTGGTCCAAGACGTCCGGGCTCACCCCTCCGTCCTGCAGGGCAGCGGGGGGGAGGGGTCCCTGAATGTGGTGCAGCCAGGGGCGGGGGCACAGGCGGGGACCCAGCTGAGTAGCAGCTGGTGTGGCTGGAGCGCCGGGGACCGTAGGGGTGGGCAGGGCAGGGCCGGGCGGGGCTCACCGGGAGGAGCTGCCGCGTGAGGAGGTAGCGCTCCGCGAGCAGCACGTCGCTCATGGTGCGGTGGTGCCTGGTGAAGTCGCGCAGCCAGTGCGTCAGCCCGTCCACCAGCGCCTGCCCCAGCACCCACAGGAACTGCGCCGTGCTCAGCACCCGCTGCAGCACGTGGCTGCGGCCTGCAGGGAGCGCGAGGGGTGCTGGAGCTGGGCGCGGCGGGCCAGGGACGCCCCCACCTCCCCCAGCCCCCGGGGCCCACGCACCTGCCACCTCCTCCTCGGGCTCCTCCTCCGGCTCCAGTTCCTGGTCGCCGCCTGGGCACAGGGGTCGGGGTCAGCGTCTCGGGCCCTACAGCTCCCCCCTGGAGCCCCCACGCCCGCCAGCTCACCGGGGCGCAGCTGCCCTGCCCGCTCCTGCTCCTGCTCCCGCTGGGCCCGCCGCCGCCGCCGCAGCACCGTCTGGGCGTTGGTCACCCACGCCTGGTACGCCATCTGC